AAAGTAAGAAGTAGGTAATAAATAGCAACTTTGCACCAGATGCTTCCAACGGAGAGTAAATTATGTTAATGAATAGAGAAATCAATGATAAAGAAGACCAACTAACCATAAAGAGGTAAGAGATAGAAGGAAGAAACCCCTTTCCCGATCCGATAAAAGCAAAATGCTTCCAATGTGAGAAAGAGTTCTGAATTAAATTTGTCATCTTTATGCTTTCATATTGACATGGCTAAAAACAACAACCAAGTCATTAACCAAAAAGGTTTAGCCCGACAATTCGCTTGTAACCAATCCACCATCTGCCATTCTCTACAAAGAGTAAAGATAACTTATAAGGAAATCACTCCCCAAGCCACCGAGCAATTGCGGAAGAAGAATAAAGCAAAGATCGAAGAGTTTATCAATATAACCCTCCCTTCTCTGCTCCAATCCAAGGCTAACATCTTCTTCCTGGATGAGTGAGTTTCCATTTAAACTCAACTCCAAGAAGAGGTTATTCCCCGAAAGGCTCCCGCCTAGTTTGACAACGACCAGGCAATAGAGGCAAACATTATACTCTTATTTTCCTAATTCAAATTACCAATGGGGAGAAAGTTATCCATAGCAAACTAATTGAAGGAGGAATGAAGTCCAAAGACCTCCATGAGTTCCTTGCTGATTTTAACCCTCCCAATAACGGAAGAAAGAATGTTCTGATAATGGACAATTTATCAGTTCATAAAGCCACCAAATCATGTCAGAAACTAAAACTGACCACTATTGAAGAGTTATTAAGAAATAAGAATATTGAGCCTATTTTCTTACCACCCTATACACCTGAACTTAACCCCGTTGAAAGATGCTTCAACATCATTCGCCAATATGTGGAAAGTTGCCAAGCAAGGAACGAAGAGAAGTTAAAATCGGCTATTGAAGAAAAGATAAAGTTTTTTCAAGGGGAGGATATGACTAAGTATTTAGAAAGCAGTGTCAGGGAATGTTTGATGAAACTTGCTTCATTCCCTCAAATCGAGAGTGCTGATTATTCTTACCAACCAAAGGAAGTATTGCAATACCTCTTACTCTGGATACAATTTGGGTGCTACAATCGCCCATGAGATAGATCATATAAAAATGAGTTATCGTTAAAATTTGTTCGGTTAAACTTACTTAATGAATAAGAAAAAAAGTTATGAGGGATACGAAATTTTAGAGAATCAAGAAGACTAAAATTGAGTTATAAAAGCGGACAAGTAATTTGAATTGTGTAGTAAGTAGATAAAAAGATAAAAGTATAAAAATAAATACTACTTTTTTTAAAAATAAGATAAACATTTATATTTTAAAATTAAAACTTAATATCTTCTGAACATTTTATCTCAACAACTAATCTACAAAATTAATATATAATATAGTTTTATAGTAGTTTTCATTTCAACTCCTCAACTTTTATTGTTATTTATTATATTAATTTTAAAAGATAAATATCCTAACTTCTTATTTTTGATCAATGACTAAGCTTCTAACTTTAAAAGAAAAACAACATCAATATTATTTAAAAAACAAAGAAAAATATTTAACTCGAGCCAAAAAACAGGCTGAAAAGTTAAGAGAAAAACGAGAGAAAAAGTGTAAAAAAGAACTTGAAATTATTGAGCAAGAAGAGAGACCAACCTTTTTAAGACCACTTTTGGCTAGATGTTTTCGCTGCAAAAATTGATTTTTAATAAAATATGTTCCTTGAAAGAAAAGGTTTAGTTTAAAAAATAATTGGGATTGATGGACAAAAAAAGAAGAAGAAAAAGGGAAAAAGATTTGTATCATTTGTTTAAAAGACTTATATTTAAACCACAAGGCAGAGTATCGGCAAAGTATTCGTGATGAAGAAAGAAGGATGGTATTAAGAAATTATGCTGCTTAATGTTTAACTTATCAAAACATATCATATAAAAATATAATAAAATATGGATATATGGTAGATAATAAAACTAACAAAACATATTATAACGATAATTTGAGAAAATATGAGAATTGATTAGAGAAAAGAAATTTATCTTATGACACCATTCAACTCTATTTATGAGGTATTAGAGAATATGGCGAGCGAGAATTAAGCACCGATGTTATCGATAGTTTTTTAAAAGAAAATTTAACCAAATATGAACCCGCTAGTTTAAAAGTATTTCGAAATGCTTTGTCATCTTACAGTAAATTTCAAAAAGTAGATGTCGAATGAGAATTAATTGCTAGACTAATCCCAACTGTTCAACAGAAATTTTTTCCCACCATCAATCAATCAGAGTTCGAATTGTTAAAACGAGCAAAAAACAAAACTAATTGAAAGGGTGATAAGCGGAATAATTTAATATTAGATCTTTTATTCTATACTGGAATAAGGGTGAACGAGTTAATCAACCTTCGCCATTGTGATTACCAAAATGAAAGTTTGAAAATAAAAGGAAAAGGTAATAAGATTAGATACATTCCCATTCCTGTTTTTTTAGCGAAACATTTCAATGGAGGCACTGATTATTTATTTAAAACTAGAACCGGCAAGCGAATTGAGAAAATTCAAATAAGAATAATGATCTATAAAAAAACTAAAAAGGCAGGAATAAATAAACATATTAGTCCACACACTTTTCGTCGTTCTTTTGCTACTATCTTAAATAAGAAAGAGGTGCGATTAACTATTATCCAAAAAGTTTTAGGACATAATGATATTCAAACTACTTCTAGTTATATCCACAATTCTCGTGAGGAGATTTATAATGAATTGAATAGTAAACTCTGAAATTCCACCCCCCCCCCCCCCCCCCAACCTCAATACCAACATTTTTTTTAAAAAGTAAAAATAATTAATTTACAAAAAAAGAATAATGAAATCGAAAATAAATGTTTAGAAGACCAAAAAAAGTAATTACCGAGATAGTTGAAAAACCGATAGAAAAATGTAGTTTTTGTAAAAAAAATAATTCAGTAGGTAAGTTGCGAACTACTTATTATTGTTCGAGTAATTCCTGTGCTACCAAATTATGAGATAAACAAAAAAAACAAGATACTTTTGAGTTTGAAAAAAATAAAAAAATCAATAAGTAAAAAAAGAAATGACCGAAAACAATAAAATAACCAGTCTATACGAACAATTTAAAAATACGAATAAGAAATTAAAAATAGTTTGCGATTGAGATGAAGTAATTCAAGCATGTGAGCCTTATGCTTTATATTTGGCAATCATTAAAACAAGAACACTACTAATTGAAGGTGGTTTCATAAAATGAGGTTTTATTAAAGAGTTTTGAAAAGAAGAAAATGTTGAATATTCTCCTTATGGTTCTAAACTAAAAAAAGAAAATTTTGCTAAGGATGTGACTGAAGAACAACAAGAAATCAAAAACTCCCCAAAATTCTACCAGCAAGCACCATTTTTAACTATTGCTGAGGATTTACTGAAACTGATAAAGGAGGATAAGGTAGAAAGTTTAATATTTTTATCGGCTTATGATCAAAAAAAATTCCTCAATGGCGATAATAGGAAAATTGACATTTTTAATGAAACTTTTAGAAACTTTTGAATTAAGGGTCTAAAACATGAAAAGAGACTTTGTTGATTAGAACTAATTCCTTTTGATAGCGAGGAAAAAGGAACAAATAAAGTAGAATGAATTAAAGAAAATGCCTCTGATTTTGATTTAGTAATTGATGATAATCCTAATATTTGTAAGAGTGTGTTTGCTAATAATTATGATAAAGTAAAAATTAGCAAAGAATATCCTAATGAATATTTTGCTGTTATTGCCCCTTATTATCCAGCAACAGAAAATCAACATCATAAAGAAGTATTATTGGTTAAAAATGAAGTAAGTGATTTAAAGAAAGAGGATTTTAGTTAAAAATTATTAATGGAAGTTAAACTTGATAATTCTTCAAAAGAACAAATAAACCAGGAACAACCATCGGTTAATTTTTGGGAAAACTGTGGGCAAAAAACTAAAACCGAAATTATGGATTTACTCGCTGAGAAATTAGGGAAACCAAAAAATAATTTAGATATTAATTGTCTAGATGCTTTGGCTCGCAAAATTCTCTACTTTTATGGTGAAGTAAAAGATAATAGAAGTCAAGCAATCCATTCTCTAACTGGTCAAGTTGTTGAAATAGCTCAAACAACATTTAAAGAAGGCAAGAGAGGAGGCGAAATCTATTATTCTTTAAAATTAGCCAATAAAACGATTTTGAGAGCCATAAAAGCGGATTTGTCAATCGAAAAATGAACCCAAGTAGAGCAATTAACTATTCTAGACCAGAATTTGCTTTTTAAGTATCGAACTTCGATTTTTGGTAAAGATATTTGCGACTTTTGTCCGGTTGGAACTGAACCAACTTCCCAAACTCAATCTAATGTTGGGGGTGGCAAGGCACCCGAACCAGACGGGAAAAACCAAGTCAATTAGATAACTGGATAAGAGGTGAGACCTTCTTTTAGAAGGCTCGACCTTCAGTATTCTATACTTCGGTTTCCTCCCCGTCGGTCGGTGGCAAACCCTAGCGAAATCACCTATACATGCGCGTAAAAAAAATTTTAAATTAAATAATGAAAAAAAAAATATTCACTGACCCTTCTGCTACTGGAACTACCGGAATTTGTATAGTTGGGAGCGAAATTACCTTCCTTAAATTCGGAAATCCTAATTGAGAATGAAAGGAACATTTTCAAAAGATAAAGGAGTTAGTTATCGAAAACTCTGCCGATCAATTAGTTTATGAAGTTAACAATTCGATTAGTGCTTCCAATCGAACCAAACATATTTCAAGGCTGTTTAAATTGTTCGGAGCAATGGAAGTTCTAACTTGTTTCCTACCGGTTAAAGTTGGTTCTGTCCCAGCCAACCAAACTAAGGGATTGCGAGCAAAAATATTCGATAAAAGAGTAGGAATTGCTGGTCTAGAATTTAAGAAAGGACTGGGTTGATTTTATCAAGGAAATAAAATTAGTGTTCATGAACTAGATGCTTTTTTAGTTTACTGAATTTGAAAAGGAAATAATTATGAATATGGAAAGAACTTTTAAAGAATGACTAAAGAAAAACCCGGACGAGAAAGAGGAAGATTATTGACGCCAAGCGGTTCGAGTGGCTAGCCGAGACAAGCAACGAAACAAAGAAATCGCGGCTTGGGATAAAATTGCTAGCAAAGTTAAGGATAAATAGTAAAAACAAAATAATAATGATTAAAAACTTAATTGATTGAAAGGGCATTTATGATATAGATGCTTCTTTCCACATATATTTAACTGCTCGAGGGCGAGGAAAAACCGACACTAAGGCTTGATCTTTTTTAGAAGAAATAGTAAGTAATAAAGAGAGTAATTTTGCTTGAATTCGGAGAAATTGACATGATAGTTTAGATTGTTCCAAACCTTACTTTCAGCAACTAATCTATAATTTTTGTGAAAAAAAAGGAAAAAGATATAACGATTTTGTGATTCATGAAAAAGGGGTTTATTATCGTGAAGAAAGAAGAATATATTTTTGTGATTTATTCAGTTTTAAAAGGTTTCGTGGACAAATTGCCCGAGTTTCTTTCAAAGAAATAGTTTTTGAAGAAGCTATTCCGATTGATGGAGAATTTTTAGTAGTTAACCGAAAAACCGAAACCAAAACTGAACAATGAATGTTTCACGATTTAATCAGCAGTTTAAAAAAAAGGAAAGACAAAGATGGTCAGGAAACTTCTTTTGAAACCAAAATAACTTTTTTAGGCAATCCTTATATTTGAAGTGCTTGATTTTTAGATGTTTTTTCTAGGAACTTATTCGAGTTAAAGAAATTGGCTCAAGAAAAGGAAAAAAAACTGGATAATAGCGGAGTGTTGGAGAAAGTTAAAGATGAGGAAGGAACTGAATGGGTGTTGTATATTAATTTAATTGAGGGGGAAGAGGACTCGCATTCATATTCGCTGACTGAAAAAAATAATCCATTTTTGGTTAACTGGGATGATTATATGATTTCTTTATACAATAAAAGCGGTAATGTTAAAAAATACCAGATTGAGCATGCGGTGCAAGACTTCTTTTTTTGCGAACTAGGAGAAAGAGAAAAGAACAAAAAATACTTTCTCATGCATTTTAGCAAAAACAAAAAAGAAGTAGATAGTGAAATTGTTAATTATTGTTTTAATTTAGAAGAAAAAGCCAAAAGTAAACTAAAAAATTGTGTGGTTCGAAAAAAGGATAAAGAAATCAGTAACTGGGTAGATATGTTAAAAGAAGGAGAATTATTCTTTACTGACTTTAGGAGTAGAGATTGATTTTTAGAGCAAATTAAAACAGTTCATTAAAAGATTCTTTTATTCCTCACCTTTTAGTCTTTATTCCTCCTCTTTTGGTCATAGATATATAAATATATCTAAATATGGAGATAGGCGGTGGTTAATTAGACAATAGCGGAGAAAAAAATAATTATGAAAAGAAAAGAATTAAAGAAAGCCATTAAACATAATCTTCGGAGATATCCTTGTGGTTGTTGTGATTGAATTAAAGCTGATAAGAAATATCGAATAGCAAAAAATAGATATTAGGTATATCTAATAATATGGAGATAGGGGAGGGTTAATATCTCTATGAGCGGTGGTTAATTAGACAATAGGCGGTGGTAAATCACTAAATATACTTATATTATGCTTGATTTATCAAGGATACGATAGTTTGCTAGAATAAGGGTAAAATATTTGGTTAGCAGAGTGGTTGAATACTTGTAAAGGTGAAGAATTAACCATTGATTAGGTAACGAAATTATTTTTATAAGAAAATCAACCACTTAACCCCTTATAAATGTAGAGCAAAAAGGGGGTAGAAAGTGTAACGCCCATTAATGTTACCAAACTAGGTTAAAAATGGAGTTTTGGAACCGGAAGACTAATTTTTGACTATTTGAAGTAGGAAAATTCTCTTATTATTATTTTCTTGAAAAACTCCCCTTATGTTTTTTACCCAGCCAGCTTAGGTTTTGGCATTTTAGCCTTATTTTTAAGTTTAGTGGACTAATTTATAGGAGTTATAAAATGGAGTGTTTAGGAATATAAAACTGCCTTTAAAAAGATATAAAAAAGGATTATTTATTTACTGAACCAGAGATTATTTTAGAATTAGTTTCATTTCCTACTTGTTTTACTTTTCTTTTGACTCAATTTTTTTGGTTATAATTCGGATCTTGGAGGATTTTTTTTAAATAATAATACTTTCGATACTTAATTTGATATTTTTGTTGATTTAAACGATATTGCCGTTGTTTTTTTTGTTTTTCGGTTAACAACATTTCCGGAATTAATGGACGAGGCATTGATTATTATTTAAAAACTGGACTTTTAATGGGGAGAGTCCAGTAAAGAAACTCCCCAACTTAGCGAACTTTAAAATTTTTACCTTCTAAATCAGTGATGCCACTGAATTTACCACGTTTAGTTTGGTCGATTTGGTTACAAATTACTTGGGTTAAGGCTTCGATTTGCGGTTCATTAGCATTTGGTAAAATAGCAACTAAGGATTGTTTAGTTTCTTCAAAAGTTAATTGGGGATTATTAACGATCTGCAAAATGGCTATTTTTTGTGATTCAGTAAATTTCATAATGATAATTCTTTTAATTTTGCTCGGTCAATGGTGAAATGAGGAGCTTTTTTTAACCACATATCGCGACCGACTTTAATTTCTCAATGCGGAATATGATTTAATTGCTCTTTAATGGCTGAATTGGTTAAAATATTTAGTCGTTCACCATTTTTATCTCGGCGAGTTCAAA